GTGTCACCGTAGCGCTATTTTGGAGAGTATCCACTGAACGCAAACTGCATATGCTGTTCTGTGTCAGCCGCACCACACGGATACGCTGTTTTCGTTCAAATCAAAGCGTAAATAAACGTAGACAACGTATCTGTGTGGTGCGGCTGACACAGAACAACATACACAGTTTGCGTTCAGTGGATACTCTCCAAAATAGCGCTACGGTGACGTGGAGGAGACGAATTGTTGGATAAAGTCGTTATTTTTGTTTTCTTTACGTACAAAAAGTATTCTCGTATTAAATCAATCAATAAATCAACAATAGGCCAGTTACTTCATTGGCAACTGACAAATATATACAGAAGAGATAGAAAAGGGGGAAAGAAAAATCACATACAAAAAGAGTAAATTGAAATCTTCATACAGTCAATCATAATATAATTAACCAACATATTAAGTGGAGAAAAATTTTGATCTTAGACATAACAGAAATGCATGGTCCATTTATGCAAAAGGAAATTGTTGCTCCTTCATATTTCCATTTCTCTTTGGTTTAAGTCTTAAACTTATTTTCATTTTTTCCAGATCTCCTTCCTGAGAATTTTGTGGAAGAGAAAACAAAATCTATTGACCCTAATGGCATCATGGCAGAGATTAATCATCGTGACCGACCTGGAGTCCATCTAAAGTGAGTTTCTCAAAAAAAATAGGAAGTTTCTGATTCTCTTTTCTGATTGTTTCTCACTTTCCTCTGACGTACTTCTCTCTCTTTTTTTTTTTTTTTTTCTCAAGGTACTCTCACGTTTCTCCTCTGGAGCTGGACAAATTCCTTGAGGATGTGAAGTGAGTCACAGAGAACATCAGTTGATTTTAGATTTAGACTATTTTTGTTTCCATACTTGAGCATTTGAAACCTTTCTTCTTCTGCTCAAACAGGAACGGCATATATCCCCTTATGAACTTTGCTTCCCAGCGGCCGCATCCTATCCCCCGGGCTCTTTCTTTGTCACAGGAACAGATGGAGACTGTGAAGACCCCAACCCCAGAACCACAGGAGACTGAAACCAGAAAGGTTAGAATACGATTTATATTAGAAACAATGTTGAGAGTTACTAACTCCCGAGTAGTGATGCTTTGCCTCAAATAAAGCTTTGGGAAGACTGATTCAAGTTAGTCAATCAGTTCGTTCACACAGTTTGTGTAAATAAACACTGCTCAGAAGATTCACAATTCATTTTAAACTCTGCGTCGTCGTTTTTGAAGCAAAATATTAGTGGTCTAACAAATGTTGTGTCCAGATCTGATACAGATGATGAGCAAGGGTCAATCTGAAAAAGTTGATGTCTGTTTAAATATTTCCCAGAAATGGTGATCGATGTATCTCATCCATGTACAAACAGTATTTCACTTACTTTCTTCTAACTTTCTATTACTCCATGAGACTCTGTCCTCTTAAAAACCTGGGGTGTTTGATTTGTGCAACAGAAAAGAGGCACTAAATAGCCAAATCCTTGTGGTTTCATACAGGTTGTCCAGATCCACTGTAATTTGGAAGCGAATGAGGAAGGCACAAGGAGTCATGTGAGTAAAATTTTTTTGGCATTTAGTTTTGCTTAGCTTCTTCACCTGAAAAGCTGTGGACATTGTGCATCATCTATCCTTTCTTTCTCTGTAGCTCTCTCTTTTTTTAAAGATGGATGACAGGCTTCACCGTCAGCTTAGCTGTGATGTTTTGCCATGTAAGTACATTTTAAAACATTCAAACGTGTTCTTGCATTTATTTTTTGAGAATAAAAATGAGAATATATGAGATGTGTGTAAATGGCTGAAAAGTACATTTACATTTTTTTTCAGCTGACAGTCCCAAAGATTTGGCTAGTGAATTGGTTCACCATGCTTTCATCAGTGAGGTAAGCTCAAGATCTTCTAAACATCAGGCTTCTTCGTGCCTTTTAGTCACATTTAGCAGATAAGAGCTTATACTATATTTATATACTATACTTACTATATTTAAGCATATACCATATTTGCTATATATTATATGTATTGTTTTTTTACATGAGTATACTGAATGTATGTGGGTAAAGTTGATATAATCATAGTAGTTGTAAGTTGGAGTTATTATTTGTTAAATGGTGAAAACCACATGAAACCTGTAAGGTATTGTTCAATTTATAGCAATTTGGTGTAGTAACAAGCCTAATTACTATTTGGTGATGTGTATCATGCATATAAATGACAGGGTTAAAATTTGAATTATATCACCCAACCCTAAGCACTTTAACTGAGGAATTAATAGAAAGTTAATACTTATACATAACACATTGTACATGATACATCTTTAGTCCTCTAGTGTGCAAGCCAAAGGAAACCGTGGCAAGGGACGAAAAACTCCCATTTGATGTTACCAATTCTTGTTTAGTATATTTTTGTCTTAACCTTCAGATGAAATGAATAGCTTTGCTTTATGTGTGATTGCTATTATCTTGTTTTTGTGTCATGCAGGAAGACTGCGAGAAGTTGGCATGTTTTCTTGAGGATGCATTATGTAAGCACTGGTCAGGGACGTCCACCTCCCCCACTGCCATGGCTATGATGTACTAAGCCCAGCTGGTCCCATAATAGACAAACAGAGATTGAAGACTGGGCCAGAACATGAGGAAAAAGAGATGGCGAGAGATTCAGAAGAGGGAAATGAGACCAAAAGTGCAACATTACATAATGAAGGTCATGACAAGATGGCTTCAGAATAAGTGACGGGCCTGGGGAGAAAAGCTCACACCATACCGCATGGTACCTGCACAAACTCCAAAGAGCTCAAACTGTTCATTTTGATCTTGAAGGTCGAATTACTGCTATCATCTCACCGTGACGAACATTTCTATCACTTGCAGAGATTCTGCTTCAGTGCCAGCATTTTGGTTGTGATTTTTTTTTTATGAGTTTAAATGATTTTTAATAACATCCTTCCAAGTCATTGTGCCTATATGGCGTAATCCATCTTCATCTAGCAAAGGACAAAATCTCAAACAGACAATTTTGTTCCAGTTTAAATGTGTTATTTATTATTTTAAACAATTAATACACAGTCTTGGTATACATGTTTAAAAGTTCAAGCAAGGAAATGCATCAAAATGTTTAATTCTACATTTCTAAATGATCTTGTTTTGTATGCTTTAACAAGCTGACTTTGAGCAAACAAATGTATGGTACTATGACAAAAGTGCTCTTGGCACCTAATACTAATATATTTCAACACATTTTTTTTTAGACCTTAAACTTCATTTCTTGCTCTTTATCTTGAATGATTTTACTGAGTTTAAGATGTCTCTTTTTTAATTGAACTATGTTGATCTCAATTGCTTTTTTCATGCAGATGGTAACTTTGCAGATGTTTATAAACAGTGGCAATAATGGTATCCTTAAGTAGTACATTACCATTCAAATATTTGGGGTCAGTAATTTTTTTTTTTTATAAATTAATACTTTTATCCAGCAAGGGCACATTAAATTGATCAAAAGTGACAGTAAAACTTTTACATTGTTATGAAAAAAATCTGTTTTGAACTAAATGCTGTTCTTTTAAACTTTATATTAATCCTAGAAATTTGAAGAAAATGTATCATGGTTTCCACAAAAATATTAAGCAGCTGTTTTTAAACATTGACAACAATAAGAATTGTTACTTGAGCACAAAATAAGAAAACAATTCAGTTATTTTTTATTTTTTTTTACAATATTACTGTTTTACTGTATTTTTGATGAAACTTAATGCAGCTTAAGAGACTTCTTTCAAAATCATTCAAAAAATCTTACTGACCTCAAGTGTACAAGATGTCCCATCTGATATTTGCTCAGTTTTAAGCAACAAAGCAGAAGAGCATTTCATCCAGATGTATTTTACCAAGAAAAAGCTGGAGCTAATGAGTAGATCGATAAATTCAGTAAGACATTTGCTTTCATTCATTTAGCAGACATTTTTAACCAAAGCGATTGATACAAACACAAACAATTAATCATAAAAGCATTTTGAGCAGCTAATGACACAGGGGTCCTGTTCATGAATGTAACAGTGTTGACGTGGGATTTTTATTTTTATTTGCCTTCTTAATGTGAATATGACCTGATCCTAGATCAGCTGTCTGCTTAGAGGTGTTTAACGTATATGGGTCCAGTTTACTTTTAATTATTTCTTTGTCCCTTACACTAATTAATGCATAGCGATAGCATACAATGAACTGACCGTTGACTGAATCAGAAGAAACAATGGTTTACTTTAATAAATCCCTCCACTGGGAATGAAGGGCTCTTATTCTATTTGGCATTTACATATTACCACAGTATGCATATATTTTGTATCATGTAAAAGGATTCATACACTGCTTTGTATGTATTCTATATGTAAGAACTTGAACCATGTCACGGGCAAAGATGTACTGGGTGCAGTGCTGGCAAGAGTGGGTACTACATTGCAAAAATAGTATCCTGTATTTGATTGACACTTGCATATTTACAGTATTCATTCTGTGAAAACATCCATGTTGCCATGCCGTCCAAAGCAATAGTATCTGTTAGGGATGCTTTCAGTACTGTACTCGCCAATGGCTTTGACTTCCCAATATTACTTAAAAATATGTGCATGTCAGGAAAGGAATGCTTTTACAGAATTGTTCATTTTTGATATATTGGCATGGTTGTACAATGGCTGTATTACAGCTTCAGAAAACTATTACAAGGGATTTGTAATCTCCATTTATTCTTGCAAATTCAAACGATTCAGATGTCAAGGAAAAAGTCACCATCCTCCCAGTGTTATTATAAGACTAATGTCTTGCAATGTAATAAATTTGTATGTAGATACAAGACATATGAATGTACAGTGACTGTTTAAATATACTCTTCCTAATTCCTGGTGTCCTTTCTCATCTTAATCAAATACATTAACCAGACTTTTGCTTTGGGCAGTTATTTATTTATTTTTTTCTTTGTGTTGAAATTGTATACTGTGACATGGAATACTATAACATTAAATTATAAAATTAATACTTTAATATGGCTGAATTTATTTATGTTGTGTAATAGCATAAAAAAGCTCTAATATATAATTAATTTAGATTTCAACTGAAATATCTATGTGTGGGCTTTTACGCTATTTCTCTACATTAGAAATATTAATTCATCTTTTGCGATCGTCTTATCAAAGGCGCCACATATTATCTCAAGAAAATGAGAAATTATGTTTTATTGTGTTCTCTAACTTACATCATCATTAAATTTTGTTTTTTCAATGCGACTTGCTTTCCTCCAATCACAGCCTGATCGGCCACACTGCAGCTGCGCGCCTCTTACCTAACTCTCTCTCGGTATCGCGAGATTTCATAGTCTTCCTCGCCGTGTGGACGTTAGCGCTGGAAGGTGTGCTCTATGGCGGTGGCTGTTTCAGCGGTAAATGTAATATTTTGTTTAACTTCTCTGTTAATATACACACAGTAGTATTTAAAGAGTGTATAGTAGTGTTTTCGGACAGAGGTTTCATTTAAAAAGTTAGAAGAACAGGGGAATGGCTAACTAGCCTAGCGCACCGAGAGCGGGATTTTCTCCCTGGCCTGCTGCTGCGTGTCTTTTTAGAACCACAGTGATTAAATCCTGCTCGACTGATTTATAACTGTTGGGATTTGTTTCAAACGGTTATTTTTAACGGTGTATTACTATGTTTGTTAACCACACACCTGTGCTCACTCGCTTTCTTCATTCGTTACATGAGCTAGCGTGTTAACCCGCTCACATTGTCCTCCATGAGCTGAATCAACTTTGCTGATGCTGCACGGTCCAGAAACTAAACGCTCCGTTTAAATGTCTTTACGCTGTTAAGATTTCTTTGCAGTTACTATTCGCTTTTGAAAAAAAGTGCATTGCCGTCGAGCAGTCTTTTTGAGTATCGAATTGAGTATCGTTAATCCCAACATTACACAAGGCCTAATGGCCGGTGAGAACGTATGGGACACATTCGTGTGGACGGGGCCTCCCTCATACTTCATTGAATGCTGATTTTTTTTGACCTCCTAGTCAGTGTGATTACTTTATGTTAACATTGACTAGATAATGTTTTTGTATTAAATCAGAGCAGGCCTCTTAAATGGTCTATTTAGAGATCATCGTTTTCCTAACTAGTCTGTTTTACAGACATCTCAAAAGCCATGCTATTATAATTAACGTTAGGTTGAAAAACTTAAGTTCACCCTTTTAACTTGGGAAATGGACGCAGTGTACGTGGTTTTACTGAAACCTCTCTCTTTCCTTATAGACTCTGTATTGAACAGTAAAAGCTCCCCATAAATAATCTCGCAAGACACCCCAGCGGAGAGCAGGTGCTAGGTAAGGGGCCTATCCAATGCTCACCCCGAGACCACTCTTCCCCTTTGTCTTGAAAGGGGTTTGCAAAGTGTCTGATTGCCTTTCACTTGTTGGGAGTATTACACATATTTGATAAACAACAGGTTGCATCAGGCAACCTGTACTTCCTTTTTATGTTGTTCAAGTGTCACCAGTATATGTATAATAAAGTGTTAGAGCTTTTAGGGAATAAAAAAAAATATTAAGTGTTTTTTTTTTGTTTTTTTTTTGCATAGTCATTGGAACAAAAACATATATTTGTCATCCAGGCCAATCATGCCATACTGGTAGCTCAAGTCCTGTAATTTTTAGATGAGTTTAAGCAATATGCAAGTTCTTTGCGCTAATTTTCACAAATTGTCAAATTTTGTTGTCAGTCACATTAAAGGAATAGTTCAGCTAAAAATGAACTCATTTAACCATCCGGATGTCATTCTAAACCTGTATGACTTTATTCTGTGAAATACAGTAGGAGAAATTTTCTTTGTCCTTGTTGCTTATTTTCATACAAGACTTGTTTCAAGCTTTAAAAAGGATGCAAATATCATAAAAGCAGTAAGTGCAGTTTAAATAAAGCTTCTGAAGCCAAACAAACCAAAATTTAAGCGATGACTCAGTGAAAATCATCTTCCATTAGTCTAGAAAATCATACGGGTTTGGAACAACATGATTAAAACAATGTTCACACCAGAAATTATAACTCGAACAATAACTATATAAGCATCCACACCTATGGACAATGATGTCCTGTTTAAAGGCAGAGTAAGTGATTTCTGTTAGCCAATGTTGATATTTGAAATCACCAAAACAAACACGCCCCTACCCCAAAAGGGTCTTGCCCCTATTTTGATAGCTCCGCCACACATACGTACTCAACCCAGGCCATGATTAGTTCTGTGAAACATAGCAAAATCGATGTTACACCGTGTCTACGGATGTGAGCGGCGCGGCGCAACAAAGCGTGAATTCGGATTGGCTGTTAATGGTTTTTATTGTTTGGTCAAAAAAAATTATGAAAGTTATACCAACAATATTGTTATAGTTGTAGTGTGTCCTTATTGTCATACAATCAGAACGATTATTAAAGTTTTATAGTCATCATCCTTATTGTGAATGGGCCTTAAATCACAAAGCTTCATTTTTTTGGGTGAACTGTTCTTTTTAAGAATCATTGCCACTGAACAGATGTGTACAAAATATATTTCCGTAAGGTTTTTCACCCAGGGCTTCATGTCCTAAACATTTTAGAGGCAGCTTTTTTTCCCCCCTGGATTTGGATGTCAGTGATCTCAAATTGTTGTCTCCCTATCCAGTTCTCTTGTTCTAAGTAGGTTTGTGTTTTTCTTTTCCTTTTTTCTTCTTTGTCGTTTCTCTCTATGTGTTGTCTGTGCTGTAGAACATATCTCTTGACTGTACTATATTTCCAAAGCCAATGGCAGAACTTTTTGGGTTCAAACCTCCTAAAGGGGGGGGGGGACAGTGCACCACTCTGGAGTTCATTTGAGCAAAGGTACTTAAGTTTTCTCTTGTGTAGTATTAAATAAGAGGGCTCACTAGGGCTGCACGATTCTTGCTAAAATGTAAATCACGATTTTTCTCCATGGGAATTGAGATCACGATTCTCTTACACGATTCTCATTTTTTCAACCAAAATTTATTGCACTCAAGTACAAAAACAAAACAAAACACGCTCACTTACTTTAGCATATGCACTCTAAGGGTATATGGTCCTCCAGTGACCGACATCTCAGTGTTTCCACTGAGGGGAGAAGTCACCATGTGGTACAAATGCATGGTTCCCTACCATAATGTGAGAAGCCTGTTCATTAAATGTAAACAGAAGGCTCATTATCAACGGCCTTTCAGTTCAGTGTAAAATGTCTTTAACAAAGCCTTACACTAAACTGAAGGTATCCAACATGTGCTGAAATGTAGAAAGCTGTTTTAGAGCAAGCTCAAAATGATTTAAAATCATTTGCAGTAATGTAAATATGAGAACTTGTTTCCAGCTCTAATCCTAATACTTTTTATGCATTTAAAAAGGTAAATTAACTTAAGATGCATTATTTCTACTATTGT